GCACTCAAGGCTGCAAAGCAGACAAAGGACGGAAGAGATGAGGATATTGCATCCCTTCGTTCAGAAATAGAGGCAAAAATCTCTGAGCTCTGATGGTTATAAAGTTTTTATTTTGTAAGTTTTTGATTGGTTTTAAAATTGAAATTAGTGTTAAAATGTTCATCTATGTAGAGCTTAAAAGATGAGGCAGTAGCATCTGTCGAACAACTCCGAGAAGCAGAATCTGAGGCCAAGGCTTTACGTTCAATGACTCACAGGATGGTTTTGACTCAAGAAGAGATGGTATGTTCTGCAAAGTAGTCTGCTAGATGAATGATCAAATGTTTGTACCTGATCAATTGTCTATTTCTCTCAGGAGGAAGTTGTTTTGAAAAGGTGTTGGCTAGCTCGATATTGGGGTCTAGCAGTGCAGCATGGTAATCATTTAGAGTTCCATAATTCTCCTTCCAAAAAGAATTTTCACATACATTCCAGAATCTGAATGAGTTTCTTGGTTGCGTGAAGTGAATACATCACCAGGCAGCTCAAATGTATACATTGAATTGTTTTCCAGCTCTACTGCTTAGCCATATCCTTTTATGAAGCCACCCTTGATTATGGTTAATAGTGTTCTGGTATATTGATATGGTTGAGGAGCGATAAGATATCTGTCAGGGAGAGTTTATGTCATTGTTCAATGTTCAATAAGGAAGTGGGCAGAGATCTTATAGTAGAATCTCTATATGCACCTTAAAGTTTTTTGTTAGTCTTCATATGAGGCTTGATTTAACAGTATACTCAGCTGTAGTAATATTGCTACTGCCCTGGTTCCGTACTGTTGACATGATCGTTTGTTAGTGAGGAAGAATAATGGCCAATACTATAAGAACTCTTTAATAAAATGTTCTTCGTACCAATGCCGTCGTTAGAGCACAAGCTACTGTCAATTAGTTTCCCATGAGAGACTGATATGTTCTACTTAATTCAAAAGATTTTAATCTAGATATTCTTTTATCCTTCTTTGTCATCTTCTTTTGAATGAACAACACTACATTCGGGCCCTTTTTCTCTTGGTTTATGCTTTCCCAGGTGTTTGTGCTGATATTGCACCATCAAAGCATGAGCATTGGTCATCTTTTGCCCCTCTTCCATTTGAAGTCGTCATTTCTGCAGGACAAAAGGCTAAGGAGTCTTGGAATGAAAGTTCGTCTTATTTTTTTTTAATTAGTCTATCTGGAGGTTTTAGTTGTTTCCTAGTCGTTATTTTTTTGTTCTGATGCCATTGAACAGGAGGCAGCGATCAAGAAAGGAGTAAGCATGTTCGAGATTTGAGTGATCTAACTGGAGAAGGGAATATTGAGAGCATGCTTTCTGTTGAAATGGCTTTGCGTGAACTTGCTTCTTTAAAGGTAACCCTCTAGTTTTTCAAATTATGGCTTTGTTAACTTTCTATTTATTTACATAGAGTTCTCTTGTTTCCTTCTATTAAGTTTCTGGACGCTTTCCTTGTTACAATGGATATGGATGATCTACTGCTTCATAACTTGTTTGGACAGAGTTTTGTCAAAAACGGATCCACGTAGATGACTGTTACTTTCGTGGTGGTGGAGTCTATTGATCTAAGTTAGAGGAATTTTAATAATTGCTTATATATTTTGAATGGATGTCTCAAGGTTGAGGATGCAGTCGTTCTTGCACTGGCGCGACACAGACGACCCAATTTGGTTCGTTCAGGTATGTTGGATGAGCAATCTTCTATGTACTTCATTACTTGTTTGCATTTTTGAGCTTCCTACTTTATTTGGTCCTTTTTGGTTAATCTTCTCTTCTCAGATTAGTGGGATGACATGTGGTATCTTGCGATTTTCAGATTCAAAATCTAATGTTGATCCCAAGTTTGTTGAGGCTTATGGTAAGGAGGATATTGTCCTCTTTCAGTACTCACCAATTCATCATTCACTATCATATGTTGTCTGATGATGAAATTTGAAGAATACTACCATCATGTATTATGTAGTGCTGGTGCCTTATGTGCTCCAACAGACATCCCGATCACATATGTTTTTGGTTTTCTTTACTATTTGAAGATAGAGTCTTGAGATACTAACACGTCAGCTTTTTGGTTTTCTTTCATTTGATGTGTAAATAAGACACGATGAACTGGAAAGTTTTGAGGATTTATCATTTAAGACCTTATTTTAAATACTCTCGTCATTTTTCCTACATCATTAAAAGCCTCTCTACTCTTGCACTAATAGGTGCATTTCTGTTCAATAACCCTAGTTCATCTGAGCTGTTTCCTAGTGGCTTTGTGGCTCAGTGCGCCTTGTCAAATTGATTTTAGATGACCTTGCAAAGGGAAAACAGATAATCTGCATCTGTAGATGTGCATGGATCTACGTTGATTTGTCAGTGCTTGATGAGTAATTTTTTATCCTCTTTTGCAGAACTAAGCGAGGAAGAGGCTGAGGATGTTCTTTTCAAAGAAGTACGCTATTTTCTTTTACCTTCTTTCTACTTGATTAACCATTGTTTTGGCTTTCTGATTTACTTCTTATCCGTTTGTTTTCCCTCCCTTTCTGGATCTTTGTTATAGTGGGAAGAATGGGAAGGTTCTATTATAATTTATAGCAAACTTCGTTCATGAAATAATAAAGGCAGATATCGTCTCAAGAAGCTGTAAATACCTAGGAAGCACGGACACTCTCCGGGGGCCTCCGTGTCGTGTCGGACATGTGTCGGACACCAACACTCGTCTGACACTCTTTTATTTATTATTTATTTATTTGTGGATTTGAATCAAATTAATTTGATTGAAATAATAATAAAAATGATAATTTATCATGTATATATAAAAATATACACGTAATATACAACATGTCCCAATGTGTCAAAATGCTCATTTTTTGAGAAATGACGTGTCGGCGAGTTGTGTCATGTCATGTCGCGTGTCGCGTGTCGGTGTCGGTACTACTTAGGTAAATACAATATCAGCAAGAATTCAGTAAATCCTGTCTTACAAATTTACATTGACATGCAGGCTTGGCTTACATACTTTTGGAGAAGAGCATTGACACATTGTGTTGAGGAGGATATTGCAGAAGAAAGGCTTCAGTTTTGGATCGGCCGTAGTGGGCAGTCAGCAACCTCACATGATGCTGTGGATGGTAAATTGTTCTCTCTCTCTCTCTCTCTCTCTCTCTCTCTCTCTCTCCACATGCGAGTACACTTGGGTGCGCGTTGAATCCATTTGAAGATTCTTTGATAGTTATGGAGAAGATTCATGTGATTGGATCTTGTTCACTTAATGTGATCGGTTTTTTAAGTGATTACCTATATCTGATTCAGCACAGATGATATTAGCCTTTCTTGTGAATGTATTTCCTGCCAATGTCATCGCAAGACCTCCATTGGGTGTTGCACTGCGTTGAATATCAGCACACTTACAATAATGTTGTGCTTAAACACAGTCTCGCTGTTTGACAGCATGTGATCACATGCGGTAGATTTAAATTTAATCTAATGGCAATATACAGAGGTGATATGGATGTGATATTGCACCATGTTTTTAAGGTGATATATAGTATTGGCACTTACTAGTTCTCATCAAAAGTTTTAATCTACTAGATCATAGCTTTCAACGATATAAATTTGAAATATTTAATACTTATGGGGGAGAAATTCACCTATGTAGTATGGAATAATTAACTATGTTAAGTCAAAATAGCATGAAGTATAGTGCAACAATTTTCTAATCTCTTACTGTACATTTCTTGATATACTATGGAATATACTGTACATTTGTTAGCTCATGATATGCTTCTGCGGGCAATATCTTATGATAAAGTATGCACATTTCTTGTCTAGGAAAAAAAGGGAAAAAAAGTAGGCACTGCAACAGTGTTTCGTCTCTTCATGTAATTGATGGATTTAGGTTTGAATTCTACTGAAATGTATTAGCATTTGGACATTGACCCGTGGGGGATCCTTGAGGAGATTTCTTACGTGGTAGCATAAGAAAGAACTTTTCGAGTCTGGAGATGAAAAGGATAGTGTATGAGAGGCATTCGTAGGAAATATACCGAATTGTAGAGTTTAGAAAAGAACTTTCCGAGACTGGTGTTGCAATCATCAGCAATGTGAAAGTTAAATTTTTTCCTTCTTGTTACGAGACAGTTGAACGGGGACTGTTGGAGCTTAGAAAACTGGGCATAGAGCAGCAACTTTGGGAAGCTTCTCGCAAAGAAATTGACAATCCCTCTTCCCTATCAGCAGGCAACCACAACCAGGGAACAGACTCAGAGATCTCTCATGAGTAATGTAATGAGTTCTCATGACCCATTTGTCAATTAGTTTTTCATTTGTTGTTGATTTATAGTTCTTTCGAGTTCAGCTTTCTTTTGTTTATATTGATTCGCCACATGAAGTGCCATTCTTGTGTATCTGCAAGATATTCGAATTTTGTAGTATCAAGAGCTGTGAAAACTGTACAATACCGAAAGAAAATTCATTGTAAGATGTCAAAGCTTTCTTTGATGGCTGTTGGGTTCTGTATCGATGTGATATAAATGAAAGTATTTTGTCCCTCATTATTGCATATAAGTTGAACTTGTAAAAGCGAAGAGCTTGAGGAGGGTCTTCCTAGATCTCATGGTCAGACAAGATTTGCCTGTGGTAGTTAGTGCGCATTGGCAGTACTCTCTGCTTTTCTCACTTGCAGAGGGAGCTTGGCTTCGGTGATCTGGCCTGGATATAGAGAATTGCAGGGTTGTTCTATCTTTTAAGTCACAATTTAGACTGAGCTGCTGCTGGTAATTGACCCGCCCCCGGTAATAGTCATCATCCTGTCTGTTGTCTTGAGGCATGAAAGACTGATTGAATTTAACTTTCTGAATTACGGCAGGGTGACCCGCTGTTTAAGAATCCAACTTCTGTGAGAAGGTTATATCTCTTGTAGTGTCGCTATTACAACATGTGAAGACTCACAATGTAACAGCAACATGAGGAAATGGAGGAAAAAGTAGCAATCTATGTTATGTTGGTTAACACCAAAGAAAGAAAGCGCTTTAAAAAAGTTGGCTTATTAAACTTGACGGATGACATCAACTATTATTATCCCTAAGCAGTGCATTTGAATTTGCACAACACAGGCTAACAAGTGAATGTTTAACTAGTAAGGGCTATGCTTGAGTGTTGCCGGATGTTCCATGCGGAGAGGATGGCAAGCAACATAAATAGGAACAGCGACGCATAAGCGAATGCCATGGAAGTTGTGGCTTTGCTACAGAACTTCCCCAGGTGGTCGCATATTGGCATCCAACTAGTGTGGTTGTTTCCATACTTCCCAACATATCCAACTGCCGTCGCAGCCGCACATCCCGCCAGTACTAGTGACATCATCCACTGTTATTGAAATTTTTTCGGCAAATGTAAAAATTCTTGTCCTGTCCGCAAAAACGTAATAAACAAGAGTTTGTCGAAAGAGCTTGACGAATGTGGATCCAAACAGAACATACCAAGTCGTGGAGGAACAAGAAGAAGAAGTTGGAAGGTTTCCGTGGGCCTCGAGGATGAGTGAAGACGATGAGAAGGAACAGGGGACATCATGGAGAAAGCACCCGCAATCGCAAAAGCAAAGAACCTGTTGATAGATCTATCGTCGTTAGCTTCAACAGTTTAGGACTTTAAGAGTGAAGGTATTATCTTACACTAAATGCTACTAGCTAGCACGATCGATTGAGTGGTTACTTGAAAGCCGAAGGATAGCTGTATCGGGCGCCAATCCTGATGCCAAATACTGTGATAGACTGCCGGCATGTGACCATCGCCAAAGTTGCAGCCAGTGTAGTTGCAATTGAGAAAATCCTCGAGCAAATCTGGGCAACGTAGCTCACGTTTGATGATTTACCGGCTAAATTCTGCTCGTTGACTTGATCTCTGGGATCGCCATGCTGGTTAATATGGAAATTGGATGGTGAGGTCCAGGGGGAATCCTGGCGGGCTCATTTATAGGACAAAAAGGGTTGAGGAGGCATCTTCCCAGAAATGAAGGGACGCAAAGTCATCTCTTTTTTCACCACCTTTTGACTCTCGATCCCACCGTTATAAGTGAAAGAGCTGGATAAGGATGGCATGCTGAAATCAAGCAAGGGAAACTTGGGAAATCACATGTTAACTACACTGACAAAGACTCCGGTTATGCCTAATTCATGGCGTTTGTGCATAACTTCAAGCTCGCGATTTCTTGAAATTAGAGTAGAAGCTATACTTAAAAGTGTCTGTTCCTCATTATTTAGGTGCCCATGTGATAGCATTAGACGAAAAAAGTTCGATATCTGACTTTTGATCTTGGTTATGATAAAAAGCTGTGTTAGAACCCCGCAATTTCGTATTTCTATAAAGCAATCAGATGAAACTGACTCTCGATTTGGGTTCTATCTGTGAAATAACAGACTAAAATGGGAACAAGAAATCTATTAATGACATGCTGACTTCCATGACTCTGCCATTGGCCGAACGTGAGTGCTCTTCAACTTCATCTTCTGTTGAGGTTGGCGACTATTTGAGGAGAACGGCTCCTCCATGGCCATCTCACGTAATTACATAGCTCCAAATTAAACTTTGGCATTTTCTTCATGCAGTCGTTGACTCCTTTTCAATTACTTCTCCGAAACTATCCTATTTTTTACCTCAAAATATGGGATTTTCCCGGGATTACATGACATCATTTTTGTCCGGTGCAAAATTTCTTTCTTCCAAACTACTCATGTCGAGTTTTCTCTAAGTTTAGGGAGCTCATCCACCAAATAAAATATCAGCAATCCAATAGAGAATTTAGATTAGAGGAGACTATCCCACATATATTGGCCTTTTACATGGTCCCACCTTCTTCCATCTCTCGATCCATGGTTGAGCCAAGGTGGGCAGATTTGAACTTGCAACCTCCAAATATGTCAGGAGCTCCACACAGACGCACAGATGCAGCAGAGGGGCAACATGACGAGGGTGGGAAGATGAGGTTGTTGGCGTCGGCAGGGGTTGAAGGCATGTCGATGGGGGCTTGTGGTGGTGACGAGTAGGTGTATAGGGGGCTTTGCTATCGCCACAGGGAGGAGGAACGGAGCAGGGAAAAAGAGAGAAGAAAAATGGTGAAAAAGAAATACAAAGGAAACGAAAAGAAAGTGGAAAAATAAGAATAGAATAACAAATTTGATATGTAAGTTGATCCCATGAATTTAGAGGAACATAAGAAGAGGAAGGATTCGAAACCAACAGCATTAATATATTCAAATGCTAATATGTCAGTTTGATCAATGTAATATTTCAATCCACAAATGAAATTAAGTCTACCTCACTGACTTAAAGTTCTCCCCCAGTTAACCATATACTACTAAACATCACAAAATCATGCTGTGGCATTTCTTTTCCTGGTAAATACTCGGCATATAGTGAAAGGAGGACTGTACAAAGACGCCGGTGAAAAGGCCTTCCGCCAATTGGAATTCTGCTGTCCCTAGAGATTATGCTTGGGCTTGGGATGAGCTTGACTGCCGGCTGTGGCCTTTTTTCTTTTTCTGGTGGTGGGTGGGTCTACCTGGTGCCTATACATATGCACGCAGATCATGCATCTACATGGTAAATATTGAACAGGAAACGTTAATGTAAGTGGTTCTACAGGAGGTGCAACGCGTTTCCCTCCCTGTGGAAACAATAATGTGTGACAAAACGGAGAACATGTATAAGAAGATCAAGAAGGATGTGGGGGTGCTGTGTTGGGATTCTTGGGAAGGAGACGAGTGCTATGATCAATTTGTGTGGTGGCGCAAGTCGGGATGTAGCAGCATCTAACGTTCAATGACAAGAACTGCTTCACACTCATCCCTCCCGACCCCACTTTCTTCCCAATCACTTTCCTCTGTTGCCTCCCCGTCCCTGATGACCCCCTTTTCCTGCCTCTTATTGCCACAACCTTCTTCATCTTGTTCCTCCTCTTGCCCTTGCCACCCGTGCCTCCGCCCTGATCATGTCCACATTACCAAGAGTTATACAATCATCGTTCTGCTACACATTAGTCCTCTTACTCATCATGTATATATAGTTTAGTATGGGAGACAAGCTGGTAGTTTTTTCCATATAATATACCTCCTCGCTGATACTGTTGATTGAAGTCTCCTTAGCATTACCATCACCGCCCTGAGATGTTGTGTCCTTATCCTTTTCTTCATCCTTAGCTGCATGCGTGCAAAAACAGTTAATGCATATGAGAACAATACGATATCAGCAGGGTTCAATTACGATAATGATTTGTACTGTTCAAAACCCAAGAACCGTGCATTTAGCTAAAATGGATGTTTTTGGTTGTCCCTTGTTTCGCAATGCATAGCATATAAGATGTACATTTTATCCACCAAACTTACATTGCTCAATGTCATCTTCCGATATTGACGAGATACAGTAGATTCGAAAACTTGGAGAGCCAGGATAGGCATCGAGCTCTGCATAGCCGATGAGACTTCCTCTTTCTTCTTCAAGTACCTCAATGATGTAATCATCCTCCTCCAGCTCCACCTCCGCCTCCACCAAGATGGCCTCCTCTATGGCTGCAGTCACTGCCTCCACCACCATCTTGTCTTCTGTCATGTCTTCTTCTTCACTACTCGTTAATGTTGTACTTGAAATGTTGACGCCATTCACGTTCGCAACATTGTCGTGGTAATTGGCTTCAGCTACCATCTTATCTTCTACCGCATGATGATGATGATCATGAGTGTCGGTATGTGAAGAATCGGGGGAAGAAGTTTCCTCCGAGGATTCTAAGCAACCCTTGGGAAGGAGCTGCATTGTGGAGAGGGTGGAGCAGTGTTCACTCCGTCGTTTCCTGATCCTAATGTTATTGCGTATCCGATGTCGAAGCAGGGGACGGATCCCCGAAGGCACCAAACGATCCCCGTCATCAATCCCAACTTTCGATCTCCCACATCCCATTTCAGGTCTTTTCTTCTTGAAAGGAGCAGTAGAAGGACGAGAAATGAGGAATTGTAGGCCTGGGAATTTTGGAAAGGGGAAGCAGAACGTGCATAGACAACACCCGACAGAGGAGGAAACATCCCCTTTTGTTTTTCTTGGTTGGTTTAAATTTAGCAGTCTAAAGGATCAACTCAACGCCCATTTCATAGCAACAACGATGTGCATTCAGGCGTACACATATCTTCACCAGAACCAGGCTATCCGTCGGTTGCCTTACACCTATATTTGGTGGCAATGTGGCAACCAACAGTTTCCCCCAACTTCCAGTCCCAGGTTGTTGCTTTGACGATGTCCTACTCCATCCCAACACATTGAACCTATCTGTGTTTTTCACTTTTAAGTTGTATGAAACTGCTTTGACCAACAAAAATGAAGTTGTACGAAACAACAAAGACGAAGTGTTTTTCACTTTTAAGTTGTATGAAACTGCTTTGACCAACTATTGGGAGAGCACGAGGGCATTTAAGCAATAGGACTCCGTATTCAATCTGGCTTGAAAGATTTCGGCCCTGATTGCTCAAAATTCTAGGCTTGGGCTTTTGGCCCGTCTCCCAATGTCTGGGCTTCCCGGAGTCTGATGCTGCCTCCCCCTCTTTTCCTTAAACCCTTTCCTCCTCCTTCTTCTCCTACTCTTCCTCCTTTTCTAGGGTTTTGATTTCACGGAGACATTCCGTTCACCGATTTCCACCCTCCTTTCGTTCCGGTCAACAACAAATACTCCATGGACGGCTCGGCTCTCAATTCTGCTGAATTGCAACGACTCATCTCTGTAAGGCCTTTTCCTTTCTGTCACTCTATCTGGGTCTCTCCCCTTTTGTTTCTTGGCGCTGTTTAATCTGATGTTCGAGCAGAATCGCTGCCTAATTATTTGACAGTGTCGAAGAAATCAGGAACCCTTTTCGGTGCGTATGGATATAATCTGGAAGTCGCGTGCTTTTTGTTTATTTTGTTTCCGGCCATGGAGTTTGCGCTTGCAAGTGTTGAGGGTTTAGTGCCGTAATTCCAGCTGCTTCCTATTTCCCTTGTCTGAGCTCAATTGTCTTAGGACAAAGTTCTTGAATTGTAATGTGAATGGTAACTTGAATTGTAATGTGAATGCTGTCTCTTTGGCCTATATCTCTCACGCGTGATCACTTTGTGTGTTCTCCCATTTGCACTTATTCAAGATATACAGGTCGGTCTTTGTTTAAGTGAAGAGATTTTAACTGAAGTGTCTCCCTAAACGGCAGCAGGATGGTTGTGTCTGTAACCTTTGGTTTGGTTTAGAACGTTGACAAGAAAAATGAATTATTTGAATCAAGTGATGGTAAGAATCAATTTTACCATCTTCCTCGATTAGAAAAGTTTCAACCTTTATCCAAATCCGCTTGATCAAATCATGACATGCTGAACATCTGCTCTGGCTATTGTTGGGTGCAGAATTGTTGCATTCTATCCGTTTGTCATGTTTAGTGAACTGCCATTTCTGGTCGTTTCTCTATTTTTTTCCTCCTTCGGTGAAGAGCATCTGGTACCATGAAGTTCCGCAGCTGTATATGTTATGTAAATATATGCATTGCACGAAGCTTTATTAAGTTTTTGCGTATTAATTATTGTAATCACATCAGCTTCCTCCAGATCGAAGTTGTGATCTTCTTTAGGCAATATTGTTGGTCCTATCATTCTATTAACCTGGGTAAAACCATGTAGTCGTCAATGCATTGACTCTTCTTACGTCATGTGTCATCGGTGCTTTGAAATGTTGAATTATCTTAATTAAGTGTAATTGTGCCTAATAAGTGCCGTGATAGTTAACATGACCCTTTTATGATTTATAAATCTTACTTTAGAAATCTTGTGTGGTCATTTGCAGCAAGAGAAGGAAAGGGCCATGGTCAATGAGATGGTGGCTAAGCTTACTAGTGCATGCTGGGACAAATGCATCACTGGGACACCTGGAAGTAAGTTCAGTTCTAGTGAATCAACTTGCCTCGCTAACTGTGCTCAGCGCTACATGGATATGAGCATAATTATCATGAAACGCTTTCAGTCAATGCAGTAAAATCGCGGACGTGGAAGAGGAAATTGCAGTATAATCCACAATGTCATAGCGACTCTGTTATTTTAGCAATTGTTGATTGAGAGTATCAGCATTTTTGGAATTGAGCAATGCTATCTTGTGAAGTTCTGATGAGCCATTCTCTTGAATTTTAGAAGCGTCTGTTTTTTTACCTCATTCGCAGTCCCCTCCTTTGAAGTATGCCTGTGTGCTTTCGTCCTGGTATTTTTTTCCTGCTTTCAAAAAGAATTTTCCCTTGTTACTGCAAACCCCTCTTTCCCTTTGTCCCTTGAAAATTCCGTTCTGTTCTGGTGTTTAGTAATCTGAAAGTCACCTTAAGACTAGTTACAGGCATGTGGCTAATTATCTCGTGTTCGTGTATAATGATGCCTCCAAGCCATCATCAGATAATGTAAATGGACATCTCCCCCCACGGTTGGTGCTTATAGTCCAAGATCTTACCAGGTAGACCTAATAGAGTGGCCATCTTTGAAAGCTTCTTAATGAAATGGACTAGCCTCTAGCAACGGGAAATACATTGCTTGTGGAATGAGGTGATACCTATTTCAAAAGATTGGAAAGCTCCGTTTGTAATTTACTTTAAATATTGTCTGAGCAGTCATAGATTCATGGCTGTCTTGTTGAGCTTGATATGAGTCAATTCTGTGATATTTCTAAGACATTTCAAGTCAACTTCATGGTAGTGGAGGCGTCAGAATATTAATGAGCTTAAGTGCAATTAGATGTAGTACTTGATATGTAAAACCATAAATCAACTTGATTTGATAATTGAAGATTCAGATGAAACATTCAAGCTTGAGTTGAGCTGGGTTTGGACTTGAGGGTGTGTGGGAAACCAATTGATTAGGACAATGGCCACCCGTAGTGGTTATCCATGTACGAGTACGTACTTTTTCATAATTAAAATGGTGGGGAACGGTTATATGATCAAATTGCTACAGGATATTTTGTCAGAATTATAACTTTATGGTCAACCAGGAACATAAGATTTGAGGTTGACGAGTTCATTACCGTAACTCTCGGGGTAACTCTCGGGGTGACAAAAGCCAGAAAACCTGTGAATATGAGGTAAAGAACGCTCAATGTACAAGCTGATAAAGGGTTCGCTCCAACTTAACTCGAACTTGTGGCTTTATGGATCATCCTAGGCCATCAACTATCAAGCTTGGTGGTCGATTGTACTTAACTTTGATCAGTCGGCATATAGCAAAATTACCTCAGCTGGATGTGATTTGCTTAGTCGTACGCAACTAGCGATGTGTACTTTCACATGTTCTAAAAACTTTAAGAGCTGAGAGATTGATGATGCAAACAAACTCGCTATAAATGGGTGGAAAAGAGATCACAAAAACTCGCTTGCACTAAAGATGGTGAGTTAGAGATTCTTATAATTTTGTATTCGACACTCCCGCTTGAGAGTGTCAATAGGATGATAAAGCCTCAAGCATATAAATGGCTACTACTTATAAAAGCGAAGCATGAGAATCGAATTTCAGATTGTCGGATCTGCTGGCATCTTGAAGGAACCAACTCAAAAGCCTTTGTTAGGCTGGGGCTTGTACATAAAGTCGAAATAAATCCATGAACAAACAATAGTTGCAGCTATTACATCCTCTTTCACATCCAAATTGGAATAGAAATGATTGGAAAGAGGATATGAAATTGAATGATAAGATTTCTGAGATTTCACAAGGAAAACGAGATACTGATATGATAATGTTTGCCTCCATCTAGTAGAGGTGGCAATATGAGTTGTAGGCCCACTTTTGAACTCATTATCGGTCAGGCGGTTTTGAGTTTGCTGAATTATTTATTATAGGTCTGAAAGAACTAAGAAAATGAAGCCCACTTGTATTTCGGCTAAATTGGGTCTTCTATTTTTTTTGGTCGAAAACTAAATTGGGTCTAAAGCAAACCCATTTAAGTAAAAAGAGTGAAATGGGGATCCGTTTGTCGTCATTCAAGAAAGGAAGAAGGCCCCCACACGATTTTGACCACGACCCTTTTTCTTTTCTTTGTTCAACTTTCTATTTGTTAAAATATTCGGAAATTGCTTTTAGAATTACTAATTTTATTTGCAGATCTTTCCCAAATTTATTAATTTTACTCGAACACTCGAGCTCCCTCACCGACTCGGGGAGGTGGTCCATGGAGTCGCCCATTCTTTAGTGGCGACAATTTAAGGAGAAAAATTGTTCAAATTGAAACCGGATTAGGTCAAGTCGAATCGGATATGACTTGCTAAAATTGTATTTCATAAAATGGGTCAATTATAAGCCATACCATTTTCGACCTAACTCAATGATAACTCTATTTTAGATAGAGCAATTTTACTAATTTAAGCTTGATATTTGCTAAATTTTGATAAATTTTGGGTGAATTTATTTGCTACTCATGTAATTTTATTGAATTTTGCAGGAAATATAACTTTCGGAGGCTAAAGGACCATGAGCACTATTTGTCGAACACGCCAGGACTATATGTGTAATTTTCCCATGTGTTTGTGTTGGAATTGCAAATCAGTCCCTGCGTCTTAGCATCTTCCATAATATCTCAATATCTTCCGGAATATTTTGTCTTGAAGAAAAAGCCAATTAAGACCAGAAATTTGGAGGATTTGACCATAATTGAGGTTAGGTTCAAAGAAAATCAAGAATAGGAATCTTAAGAAGGAAAATTCTTAATTTGGCGAGGAATCATGTTCAAGACCTAATGGGGGCTGACTTAGGGTAGATTTTTGGAGGCAAAATAAACCTCTCTTGTGCCGCATATTTCAGTATCCGGAGGAGTATTGGAGCCGCCACCTCTGAGGGAGATTTTAGGTTTTCTTAGTTAGCTTTTATTCTTCTATTTTGTTAGTGTAGTTGGCGCATGTCAAGGAGAGAATGAGGAGACAAACCTAAACCCCTTTGTGACTCAACTTGGTGAATTTGTTTTAATTTAGCATTGTGTTCTCTTTAATTTTTGTTGTTAGTTTAGCTTTAACTTTGTTCTAAATTTCTTTTGTTAGAGCTACAATGGATCTTAACCATGATTAATTGATTATCAAAACTTGCTCATGCAATATAGTTGTTCTGATCGTGTCATTTTCTATCATGATCTTAATGCTTTTAGAAGTTTGGCCAACTTTTAAATGATTTTCGATGTATGCATGATACCGGGTGGAGATTGCATGCATGTGCACTAGTGATATTGAACCATAAATCTAGGTCAAGGTACACTAGGTTGTTTGTGTGGTTGCGGTAGCAGATCTAGGTTGGGACTACTTAGATTAAATCTGGGAATTTCCACAAGAACTTAATGCTTTTAGGTAGTTTAAATTCACCTAAGGTTAGTGTGGGTTAACATACCTAATTAGGGATTATTAGACCAAGGTCGGCTTGTAATCTAACTTAGGGAAATTTCATCAACACAATTGGGAATTAATTTGATGCATGACAAGTTACGAAAATTGATTATGAGTGGTTAAGTGAAGTTGGATGCTCTAACACTTTGTGATCTTGGTTAAAATCTTGATAATTTGCCTTGTTAATTTTTGGTTTGATTTGGATTAGGTCTACTTTGCAATTTTAATTAGCTTTTGAATGCTTTAAGTTTCAGCTCTTTTGTATTTCAGTCATTTAATTGGTTTAGTTCACTTTTTACTTGCCTTTTCGACTTGGTTAGCTAGTTTGTTGGATTGATCACCTTCAGTAAGTAATTAGATAATTAGAGACAATCCCCGTGGAAACGATACTCACTCATCACTTTATTTCTTGTAGATATTGTGCGCTTGCAATTCACCTAACACTCAAATCCAATCAAACCTACTCATTTGACGAACCTAACATCTAGGTACTACTTAGCTCCTCCCCAGTGCGCACTAGAAGTTGAGTTTCATATAGGCTCACTGGCCACGCTCAAGTAACGATCGTCAATAAACAAATACATGTTCAATTTTGATTTTCAGTTTAGTTAACCATAGACATTGTCGTAGTTAGATAGCTCCTAACTATGCAGAGCCAAACATTGGCATGAAAATATGCCAAAACTTGGCTTCAATATATATCATGTAAGAGAATTTCCCGAGCTCATAAGAATTACGCATGTTATATCTTATATTTCATAAACTTTTCTTATATTCCTCCGCTTAATAGACTTCAAACTTAGTTACTTGGACACTTAAATAGAGTACTATACTCGGTCTCAGCATAACTTTTCATGTACAGGCAAAGAGAAATACTAAATATATACCAAACTTTTTCCAAAGTGATTTGACGAGCCATTCATTTTAACATCTAGAGCTCACTTGTTTAAGTGTTCAGAACGATGTTTCCAAATCAATGAATAAACATTGTAACAGCTCACAATGATTTTAGAGTTCCTGGCACTACTAGTAGATAGATATCTAGGGTTTACTTGAATTACATAATTACCTTAAAAGGCTATGCGTATTCTTTTGCGGTTGCGCTGTGCCTGTTCCTCCCAAAAAGAAGAAAAGGACAGATGCTTCCTGTTCTGTTTAGTCTTGTTCAAAGATCAACGAGATACCTGGCAAGAGATCTCTTCTTCCAATCAATGTGGAACTCAAATCTGGGTACCAAGAGGTAGGTTACCACTTTAGCATGGACCTCTCTTATTTAAATACAATCTCGCCACATCATCGGCATTCTATTGAATTCGATAGCTAGCACCCAATAGATGTAGTTGTAACTTCTATGTAGGATTTGTTTGTGGGTGTGAGACATGATGTGGTTACACTTGTTTTTCGAGTAATGTATGAGATTTGGGGTCTGTTTAGTAACATTTCTGTTCCAGAAACAATTTCTGTTCAGAAATAGTTTTTTCTATTTCTATTCCCTAAACGAGTTTCTGAGCAAAAAAATGCACTTAATAACTGCCCAAAATTTCTATTACCGGAATAGAAAAAGAATAGAAATGTGTTTGATAGAACACTAAAAATTTATACTCCTAATGTTTCATTTAATTATAAAATTATCGGTGGAGACTTAACGATTCATGTTTGGATAAAATTGGACTAGAAATAGAATAAGAATTTATTATGATATAGAATTAGATGACCCTAATATAATCATAAAGAAAATTATTCCTTATAGACAAAGAAAATACCTGATGGTGGTCGAGGAAATTGTAGTTTATGGGACTTGACAATTCATGTTTAGATAAAATTGGACTAGAAATAGAATAATAATATATTATGATACAGAATTGGATGACCTTAATACAATCATAAAGAAAATTACTCCTTACAGACAAAGCAAATACTTGGTGGTGGTCGAGGAAATTACAATTTAGGGTGTAGGATTATAGGATTTGGGGTTAGGGTTTTAGGATTTTGGTTTTGAGGTTTAGGGTTTGGGGTTTTAGGTTTTGGATTTTAGGGTCTAGGTTGGGGTTTAGGTTTTAGAGTTTCGGGTTTGGGGTTTAGGGTTTTCAGGTTTGGGTTTAGGGTTTTAGGGATTCGGGTTTTGGGTATTGGGGTTTGGGATTTAGGGTATAGGGTTTAGGGTTTGGAGTTTATGGTTTAGGGTTCAGGGTTTTGCGGTTTTGCATTTTAGGATTTAGGATTTGGAATTACGATTTTAGGATTTAGGTTTTAGGGTTTTTGGTTGATAGTTTTGGGGTTTAGGGTTTTGTGTTTCGAGTTTTGGGTTTGGGATTTTAGGGTTTAGGATTTGAGGTTTAGAAGGTTTAGGGTTTGGGGGATTTGGGTTTTAGGGTTTAGGGTTTTTGATTTTAGTGTTATGGGTTTTAGGGTTTGGGTATTGAGGTTTAAGGTTTTGGGGTTTAGAGTTTGAGGGTTAATATTTAGGATTTTAGGGTTTAGGATTTGGGGTTTAGGGTTTAGTATAGGAATATCTTGTGAAAGATAGAGAGTTGTCTTGTTTCTCTATTGTTTTTCTTTTTGTTTCAGAAACAAAAAAGTAGATTTTTTTTTACTTCTTATTTTTGTTCTAAATCTATTCCCTGACTACTTTTCTGTTCTGGGGAACAAAAAAACTAACTGATATTACTAAACGGATTTCTGTTCTTTTTATATTCTGGAGAACAAAAGAACAGAAAAACAGAGAAACAGAAACATTACTAAACAGGCCATTGGCTTACAGCAGAACAAAAAAGGAGTGATTCGAGATATCTGAAGAGAGAGAGAGAGAGAGAGAGAGAGAGAGAGAGAGAGAGAGAGAGAGAGAGAGAGAGAGAGAATTTGGGGTGGTTAGGACAGTAATAGCAAGATGGGGGAAAGAAAGTGGCAATGCAAAGGAAGGGAAGGAGAAGGGAATTGGGAAGTCATCTGTGGGACTAAAACATGAGTTGTAAGCCTCAAAGACCAGTTGGTGGACGACACATCAGAAAGGAGGGCAGGTGGGACCCGAGGGGGAGGATTTGCGCTGTGTACTTGGACTTGCTATCGCAGGGAAGGAGAGAGAGAGAGGGTGCTTTTGCTCTTCCCGGGGTGCAATCTAAATTTGGTTAATGCGGCCAAATGCAGAAGTAGGAGGGAGAAAGCTGTTTGGATTGTGTTAACTTAGGGCAAAAAGAAAGTTGGATCTGTCTGTGCGTGGGAACAACTGGAAAGGAATCATCTCATTCATTTTTTTTCAACCTTGTACAGTATTAAGGATGAGTATAGTTTGGGTAGGTGGTTCACACCCTAAAATCTGAAACCGCTCACTAAGGACCAGTTCCAAAAAATTGGAACCGGGAACTGCTCGTTGATTCCATGGATCTATCCGAAAACCGGACCGCTAGTCCGGTCCGGTGGTCTATAGAAACGTTCCCCAATCTCTACAGATTCACAACTAATTTACAAACATGGCAACCTAGTATACTCCCTAAAATTATCTGCTAACAAAGGCTCAAGTAAGCTCATAATTACCCGGAGTCGTAGCTAGAGCAAAAGCAAAAGGCAACAACAAACCAAAAACTAACAAATTCCAAACTAAATTTCAACATAATTTGAAGCACCTTAGGTCGGAAATCGAATTCGCCAACAATAGCAAAAAGAATGAGTACTTTTCAGTAGAAAAATTCACTCGATTGTGAGTTTGCGACTCAGTGACAGAGTTGAAGGCGTAGCTACGTGAGACTCTCATAGTGAGAGTGAGATGAGGTTAGGGTTTCTTCCTTTTGTTCTATTTTGGGATTATAGGGTAAATGACAAAAGGTATGCGAGAAAAACTCACTTTCACTTAAAGTGAGTTGGAATTTATTTATATATATATTGGTCCAGTCCGGGTGGGCGGGTGCACGACTCCACTCCTGGAATTGGAAATCGGAAACCGGACCGGTCCCTATGGGAACCGTCGGTTCTGGGCTGCTTCCTTTGCACACCCCTGTACCGTACTACTCGACTGTTCCCCATGAAAGTTGACTGAATTCGGCATTCGGCACTTGCACTCTCAGCTCTTCAGCTATATATACCCTTCTTCCTCCGCTTCTCATCTCCATTCTCAAGAAGCCTCGTTTGAGATTACACCCATTATGAGATAGAGCGCATCTAGAGAAAGTGGGGAGTGTGATCAGGGAAGTGTGTGTGAAGTAATTCATTAGGCATAATACAAAAGGCAAGCATCTCGTACGTGTGTCCTTCAGAGAGATGGCCATGCACCACGCACCCACCAGGGCTTTTGCTTTTGGCCTTCTGGGTGGGTACTCGCTCTCATCCTCCTATTACCTCTTGATCTTCATCGTCAGTCTTTCCACAAGCTACTTCTAAAATGTGCACTACTCAATATGGTTGCATGCGCTCCTTCTCAATCTTTTAAGTGATTATCGAGCCGGTTAACAGTCCCTTGTCTTTCGTACACGAATTACACAAGGGACTGTTGGTCTCGAACTTGCGAGTAGAATAACAATGCCTTAAGGGAATGAGGGCCTCCATACTAGCTAAGTCACAACAAGTCGCCAATGACATTCCATAAATCCTTTGCATTGTTTGCCTTTGCTTTGGTCAGAGAAACAAGAACTTAGAGCACGAGTCCAACAGCTTACCCTGAAAGAAGATAACTTTTGACTTCTTTCAATTGTTTTGCAGGCAACATCGTTTCCTTCATAACCTTTCTTGCTCCTCTGTAAGTTATATCATCTGCCTTTGTTCACTTACAATACAAAAAATGAGAGAGTAAATAATATCATGTCATACTAAGCTACTTAATTCGATGGTATGTGTGGCAGGCCCACTTTCTATGGAATTTACAAGAGAAAATCGACGCAAGGGTTTCAGTCAATTCCATACGTGGTATCGCTTTTGAGTGCGATGCTTCTGCTGTACTACGGACTGGTTAAGAAGGATACACTCCTCATCACCATCAATGGAATCGGCTGCGTCATTGAGACTGCTTACGTGGCTGCTTACCTCATCTATGCCTCAAAGAATGATAGGGTATGCCTTCTTGTTAATTAAGCGAATGAACGAGTTGGTATTCTTTTATGCTTAACTGAATAAACTGCAACTCTGTAGACGATGACCTTGAAGCTTTTCCTGAGCATGAACGTATTGGGGTATAGTGCGGTACTCTTTACCACTTTCTTCCTATCAAAAGGAGCAAATCGCGCACGGATTATTGGATGGATTTGCATGACATTCTCTCTAGGCGTATTTGCCGCTCCACTTTGCATCGTTGTGAGTGAGAAATTAGTTAAATCTGATGAAATTTGTAAGCATGTACATTTATAGACAGTTCACACGCATTGACATACATATTCATACGCTAATTTCATCCCTAGGTAGAAATTGTTAGTGGAGCCATAGCTGCGTTGTACAAAAAAAAACTAGCGAACGGTGACGGACTCAATTTATCAGTTTGAATCCAGACGCAATAATTTTGTCATAGTTTAATGAATGATCACTTTTGTTCTGTTCATCCTTCTGTTTTGCACTTGCTACTGTTATTGACGTCATTCCCTAAGTTGGTTACTGAAATAGAACGAACTTAAATGGGTGGCAGAGAAAAGTCATAAAAACCAAGAGCGTGGAGTTCATGCCAATAACTCTATCATTCTTTCTCACGCTTGGTGCAATCATGTGGTTCTTCTATGGCTTTCTCCACAAAGACAACTTCATTGCTGTAAGAGGAAACCTGTAGACCCCAAAATGCTTATTTCATTCCAACAAGTCTTGCTTTGTATCTGGTTAATGTATCCATACACGACACAGGTGCCAAACGTGTTGGGATTTGTATTGGGAGTGGTTCAGCCGGTGCTTTATGCAATATACAGGAAGAACGCAAAGAAAGTGGTAGTGGAGCCTAATTTGCAGCTGCAGGAATTACGGGAAGAGATCATTGACGTCGTGAAGCTGAGCGCAGCCGTGTGTCAAGAACTGAACCCGGTGTTAGCTGCACAGTTGAAGGACGTCCTCAAAGATAGTGTTGGCGAAGATGACCAAATCGTCGAGATGCCTTCCAAAGCAATCAAGGCATGAATTGCTGCTCATGGACAAAAGCTTTACCGATGCAATATCCTGAGTCAAGCACCATTCCTAATGTTACGATACTTGTATATTCATGTTGTTTAGTCTATTATCTCCTCTCTCGCTCCCCCTTAATGAATCCAGGTCTGCATGTATCAAGCAAAAAAATTACATTAACACCGCACAGTGTGCCCAATGTTTAACACTCACGAGGGCGTACAAGATGTTCTTCTCCTCTGGGGCTACAGTAGAAACCCCATCAGTCCATTCCAAGACAACTTTTGGTGTGCTCCTGCGCTTTGAGTTTTGATCGTACCTCAGTTATGGCCGAATGCTGTCATTTCACCAAAATCTCATCGGCAAGATGGGCAGGTGACGAACTCTTTCTTCCTACTTCATAAACAATCAGTGCTCAGATTCAACAAGATCATTAACTCAGAAACATATTCTGCAACTTTTTCGGTCTATGTTGGAGATCACTAAAGCAATAAAAAATATGCGATCTTCGTCCGTAAATTAAGTGGGCCAAGATTATTCTCCGTATCCGACGCTAGCAAGAAGAAAGGCATGAAGTAGACTTGTATAGTAAGACAAAACATCCAAAGGGCAATTAAAAGAATGTCAGTTCGAAGCCACAGAACCTCTGGTACTGCAGAGAGATATGTGAGGATCACAGTTTCGAGACAAAAGTAGTAGCTCGGCTGGATGGACAGACAACAAAAGAGGTGTATCGCATAAAAGTTCTAGATCACAAATTCGCGCCCAGAGTCACAGCTGCTTCATAAGGGGGGAAAAAGCATCACATATTGTAAAAATCATAATATATTTGTTGCCACAGACTCGCAGTCATCAACAATAAAGCCCGGCTTTGGTAACGATACAGATAAGTGTAGATTATAAATAAATGAATATCGGCAAGCATCTGGAAATAAGCCCCTTAGACCTTAATTCCACCTTTCACATATTTCTATGAAGGTGGAACACGTTGCAACCAGAGAGACCTTCATTCAGAACACTGACAACATACACTACATCAAAGTTAAATCACATCAATTGAAGTATCAACACATGTTTCCCCATTCAACAATCGCAAATGCATAATATGCACAGGAATCAATCGAATAGAGAAACACCCCTTTCCATGGTGGAATTAGCACTTTATCACCCTTCAAAAAGAGAAACGATAAAAAGAAGCCCCATCTCACGGGCTTCTCCTTTAGCTCAAAAATGCCCAACCTGGATATGGGCACTCATATTTCCATCCAGGTCCAGAGTATCTTACGCAATGTAGCCATAACCCCACTTCGTACTCCTCATATCTGACATTCAAGAATTGATCACGGGAGAGAAACAAAAAAGTGTCAGAATATGGGAAGGACTAAGAGATGTGACGTAAATCTTTGTCTTTGGTACACAAGCAAATCCCCTATGGAATCAGATAGATCATTTACAACACTGAGGTATGGAAAAGAGGACGACCTAATCCTGAAGGCTGTTAACCCAAAGATCAAGGGGGGAAAATTCAAAAGGCACCTTCATAAGACCCCTTTTCCAATGTCTCTTGCCATTTTTATCACATGGCACATCGTGCAGGGATGTACGGTCAATAGCATGTTTGGTGTCAAGAGTAAGACAAGAGCACCTAAACAGAGGATTCACTTCAGAATGTCAAAGAAAGTACTTCCTCGTTGAAATAAAAGTTACCTTCTCGCGTATAAGCTTAGCCATCTATAACTGGAATCTTCCTTGTACCATCAAATGAATAGGAACCATCATTTTGGCCCCCAAACTTGTCATTTTTTTCTGAGTTTATGTTTTAACTTATGCTGATACCAGGGGAGTTAGCAGATCAAATTAGAAATGTTTCTCTGTCTCTCCTTATTTTTCATTTTTTATTTTTTTAACAAACTGTAAAATGCCTACTGCAGGGGATGATCTCTAGCAATATGGCTCCAATTCAGCTAAAGAAAACCTGCCAGTCCTCCAGATCAATAAGCTCAAAAAATTTAAGAGCCCAATTCAAACAAATTTAGTTTGAGAATCAAATTAGAAAATCACAACAAGTTCAGAGAACAAAGCAGCAATTAGACCAGAAAAAAAAGCTAATTGTCATTACCCTATTGGAGCCAAATTTGGACAATGTGTGCACATGGGATCAATGCTGAAATTTTTTGCAGCAAGTCTCTTCACAATCATTAACATATGTATCATTTGTTTCTGGAATCAATGACTTGCCAGCAGCTCTATCGGCACTCATTCCTACATCTGAGCGATTATCAACATATTCAGACAGGTAAAGCATGTCGTTGGCAATTGGATGTCCTGTATACTGCAAGTGAACTCGTATCTACACCACAGCAAGGTGAACAGAGCAGGGAGGGAAGAACATTAAACATTGAAGAACAGTTAAAACCAAATGATGAGGAAAGAAAAAAAGTCCTAAAAAAACCCCTTATATCTATCATTCCAATGAAGACCTATAACTGTTCGGCCAAAATAATGCAAAGATGGATGGCACATAAGCCTAATAATATAGACATAGCTCAAAAAAGAAAATATTATAGCTTGAGATCAGAAAAAGGTGACACATGCTTAATCTGTTTGTCCCAAATTCTCCACATAAACAAGCAAACAAGAAGTTGTATATGTTAGAAATGAGGAAAAACTCATTATAATCCAAAGCTTCCCAAAAAGGATCAAGCTGAGCAAATAGCAATCATGTGATGCGAAAACTACGAATAGAATGCATCCAGGCAAGCGCACAGCCTCCGATATGAAACTGAAGAGATTTCCTATTCTTTCCATATGCCAAACATTGTCTCATTTCACATAGCTTCTAGACATCCTTACTTGATGAGTCCGTCCGGTAACTGGTTCACACAAGACAGTACTGTGAGTCCCATTGCTGCTAATCCTTGTAAATTTTGTAGAAGCTGTCTTTCCTTTTGAAGGTATATCACGACAAGAGTCACCCGCCTGCCCAACCAAATTCAACATTGGGACTGACTTTTCCAACTTAATGAAGCAATGAGATACTAATCTACACCAATCTTTAGTTTCTTTCAGGATAGACACTGACAATCAACCAAAACTCACCTCGACTGTGCTTCTTCCTTCCCGAGGATTATAATATATGCTAACATCAACTAGCAGCTGGAGGAAAAAAACAATCATATGTTACAGGATCGGTGGAGAAATATTGCATGTGCTTTCACTTGCAACTCAAACTGTAATGTACTATATCTGACCAAAAAAAAAAATGTAATGTACTATTCCCAAGAATAGTGAGCTGACTAACATTTTAGTGGGATTAAACTAAGATTTCTTGAAATTAATTAATCCAAGTTGTAGGAGAATTTTTCAAAATCATGAATGTCTTTCTTTGGCATGAGAAGACAATGTATTCATGCACGGAAAAGAATATAACAAAGTTCAAAAATCACGCATACTGGACATATTCTATTAATGATGCAACGCGGATACTTGTTAATGTGAAATATCTAACCCCGCTCCGAGTGCCGCATGTTTGTGTGACTAGATCTTAACAGGAATTAAAAGGCCTTATATATGCCTAGCTCTTTACTTTTCTTGTTCGCACTATTATATTCCTTACCAACTTAAGATAGTATACCTCTTTCTCTGGAAATATCCCAACCACCTTTGCAATATACTGTTTCTGCACCATTCCACCTTCAATCTGCAATAATTAAGCTCCCAGACAATCACACCATTTTGTCTATTAATATGATCTATGCAGTCCCCAATGATTCCCAATTTTGCAAATAGTTATGGCAGGAAGCATTTCAGATTGCGGCAAAAGCCATATAAGCATCAAGGAGTAACGGTGTATTATTACTGTTTGCAGATATAAAAGTTGTCAGTACAAAGATAAACCACAGAACACAATATTTGAAAGACCTCAAGCCTTAGGTATCTATTTTTCTAGTAAAAAAAGCTTTAGATACATAAGGATGCGTATACACATTATCCACACATGAAAAATTTTCTCTCCGACAAGACTTAGGAATCTATTTTCTAGTAAAACAAGCTTTAGATACATAACAAAGACTATACGCATTATTTATGAAGAAATTCTCCCCACATTTTCACAGATGCAACACTAACATGCCACAAAGATAAAGGGTCACCACTCAAATTAAATGTAGCCAAAAATGCAAAGTGACTCTCACCTGTTGCCTGAAAAGATCAGCTTTTGTGGCATTTCGGGCCAAGATAAGGAGCCCTGAGACAAGGCGATCCAATCTATGAACCGCTATCATGTCAAAGAAAAGATGTTTAGCCGGAGTTTCTAGAGGAAATGCAACAACATGACATTGCTGGATAACCAGAATGTCATTTAAGAGAAAGGTAAATAAGCAGTTGATCATATAAGAACATCAGAACCCATCAAAAACAATGTCCTTGCATGATTATGTAGATGCTTTCAAAGGGCTCTACATGGATACGAAACAAAGGGGCCAATCCATGCTCAGCTTGAAGAATGCCAACGACGGTATTCTTGCGATACTGGCCACATGGGTGCACCTAAAAATAAGTGGAGGAAGTCACATTAATTGCAATGCTAAAGAAGAGGAGATGAGTCCATACCCGTGATTCAATCTCCCGTAGGCGAGATTGCATGCAAAGACTTTCAGATCGAAAAGCAAAGCAAGAGATTAAAAGTTGAAGGCAACAGATCTCCTATAACAGACACAATGTACATCAAAAGAATATAGCAGTTCGTTGCAGTGGATTTCAAAGCTATTAGAGTAGTTAAGATTGTTCTTGAAACCTCATGATGAGTTATAAAGTACAACAGAACACTCTTTCACATCCAAATCTACGCCAAAGGAGGGGCAAAATGAAATATTTCAACGTGACAGAGGCACAGAGGAGCACAGAGACTTGTATCCTCACTCATCAGCATTTAGCAGGGACAGAACATCAGTGAATAGCAGGCGACTGACCAGGACAGAGGCGGGCTTGCAGACAGTCACGACGTCGGGCTCTTC